TAGTGGTTCAAATATCCACCCTGTGGAGAGAATGGTAGATTTTCAAAGGAAGGTAAACCATAGTGGTTCAAATATCCACCCTGTGGAGAGAATGGTGGATTTTCAAAGGAAGGTAAGCTCAAACATTGTCACTCAAACTTCACTTGTGTGACTTCACCATGCAAAAGTTGTAAATCTTGATAATTGTGTCTTGTGTCTTGTGTTTTGTTGGTTTGATTCTATTACATGTACATGTATGTTGATGCATAGCTTGACAAGCAGTTTGTCTCAATGAATTCTAACATTGCATATGAAAAAGCAATCAGTCTCATGATATATTACCAACTGCTTAAATATTTATTAGTCAGAGTTTATCGTTCATGATTTAACATTCAATTACAATACTGGAAACGTACATGTAGCTTCAATGTGCATACTGTTTATGTACTATGTCTACTGTCCTGTCCCATCTATATCATTACAATATGACATTTCTAAGAACTCATCTTGTGTTATAGTCATCTAAGAAAATGGAAGAAGAGTGTGATAATATTGAGAAACGTATCCTCTTCAATACAGCTATGAAAGAAGCCTTACAACTAGAAGTTGTTAAACAAAGGGGTAAGGATGAATATTATACCTACCCGGTAGATTCCCTGCTCTATGTCACTTTGAGATATGTATGATACATTCTAAACATTATATAATGTTAAACTGTTATTTCTGCTCTTCTGATTGCTCTGATATTACCGGGTAGGTAGGTGTGTTGGAGTGATTTATTTCAGATTTGCTTATTTCATGTCTTTACCTACAGGTCACTCTTCCTGATGTAATTTAAAAAAATAGTAACTATAGATTCTGATTCATTCATTTGCTAACTCTGAAATAATACTGAATACACAGTTTAGATCAGTTCTACTGACTGCAGACAAACTATAGGTATTTTTATATCATTCAGCATGTGATTGGCAGAATGTCAGGATTAATGTCTCCTTGTAAGTGGTTCCTCAGTGTTTTCAACACAACATGCTTCATGAAATATATATAATGTTTGTTTCAAGGCAATATATTCTGATTAATTTATTGCTTCAGGCAAACTTGAAGAAGGTTGGAGAGAAGATGAGGAAATGGAAAAAGAATTTGCAGAACGGGATAAGTTATTTTTGGATGATATAACTGATTTACAGAAGAGGACTGATGAAAGAGAACAGAAGGTTTCAGATATCACTGATAAACTTCAAGATGAACTATTTCTACTTGCAAGTTTCTTGGAAAATGTTGCTAGTAGACGTCCGCCAGGTATGAGATGAATTGATAGGGGTAAACTCTACTGATGTCGATGAGTGTATATTATACATATATAACTAATTGCTAGACTTGCAAGTAATAGATCCAAGGTTCAGATTGAGGAAATGATGAACACATGGTCACAATTCACTGACATATTTCACCTGAATTGCACAATTGAGTGGCTTTCATTCACCATTAGGCCTGTTATAGCTAAATCTGTATGTACTGTAAAAGTATTGCAGCTATCAGATTTTCTTCTGCTTTGAATGACAGTTTCAACGTCTTGATTATCATTTGTTTTAATTAACTTTCATCTCTAAGCCGATATCACATACCACTGACACACGAAAGATTTGCTGTGAGGCAACTAGTGCCAATTCACCGGTGCATCATTGACACAACAGAAAATCATTGATAAAGTATTCTTGAAAAATATCTCACTATAGTTATGGAGTTTGTAATTTGATAAAATCCACATTTTATAAACAAAGGAAATCAGGCACCCTAACTTTTCTCTCCAGCAATCAACAAGCTGACTTAATTTGACTTTGAAGGATCGGATTCCTACAAATTCATTCATCCTGTTAGAAGATGCATGATTGTCATGTTTGTGCATTAAAGTCATTGGGATGATATCCAAAAAAACACAGCAATAATTAATTAATCATAACATCAGATCAGTACATTTGACAAATAGCTCCTTGTTTCAAAGTGCTTGATTCTTATCAATTGGATTTTCTGTCATTAAATTGCACATGGACAGCCATAGCATAACAAATTGGGCCATGTGGTTGTTGTTAAACTAAAAGAGTTTGTTTATTTTCTTTGATAGAAAGTAGACATGGTGACAGACCCAATACAGCATCTAATGCCCCAACAGTTTTCAGGGACTATCTAGATTCCCGTAGATTGGACAAGTCATCAAAAGATAATTTAAAGAAGGTCAGAGATGAATTAAAAGGTAAGTTGTAATCAATGTAAATATAATCCAGATATTCTATGTGTTCAGTATTCAGTATATTTCTAGTTGTGATGTTCATGCATTGTTGTACATACTGTATTACTAACTTCATTTACAATGTTACATGTTACTAGAAACGGTATCTAAATTACATGTAGGTAGAGGTGGGTAATAGTAATAGTTGTTTTAAGTGATATTATATGTTTGTAATATAAATATAATTTGTGTAGTGTTGTGTGGTGTACATGTAGTAAACTAAATATCTTGTGATCATTTTCCCATTGAATTGCTAGACTTGCCAAAATACTGTTAAAAAATCATTACATTTGCTATAAATTAGATGGTTTATACTTGCAAGGCCACTTCATTTCTCTCACTACTTGTATCCAGCTATTTCTCATTTTATAAATGGTGTTATTGCAGTATTTTGTGATAAATTCATTATAATCATTTAAAGTACTTTTTTAACAAGGCTGTCTGTATTTTGTAATCATTTTTTTTTTATATGTACCGGTACACTATTTACAGTTTTTTCTACATACATATTACTCTAACTATAATAACACCTAAATAAGCAACTGTTGCTGTTCATTTGTTTGGACTGGTTTTACATGTTAGCTATTTCTTATTGTTCCCTTTCTAGCTATTGATCTGGTTTGGTTTTATGAGTGATTATGATGTGAATATTGTCAGATGTTAAAATTAAAATCTTTTCCTTTTTTTTTCAAAACAGCTAGCGTGAATGAAACTCTTGGTTTGGTCAAGACAGATGGAGCTGGTGACTGCCAGTGAGTGCTGTACATCAGAAGATAAAATGTTTTGAGTTGACTATTTACTTGATATTGTATAAATGTATCCCATGTGTATATATTGTTTTATTTGCATTGTTAACTTTAATATCATAATAAATTTAAAATCTTTCACTGGTGATTTATTTGAAATATCCTTCACAAAAAATGCCAGAGACAAATATTTACTAGGAAATTTGTTTCATTGTTGTAAATTCTGAGATACCGGTAACACAAAATTTGATGATGTATTCAATAAAGTCTATTATTTACATGACTGAAAAGTTCTTTCAAAGTCTCTTGTAATATCCAATAGATGACATTAGGTTGTATGGCTAATGCAAGCCGATAAAAATTAAAATAACAAGTTCACTGCAACTTCTTCACAATTTTAGCAATCTTCACTAATTATTTATGTGAAAAAGTAAGCTTATGTTTTACATGACCTCAGTGTCTTCATATCAAAAATCTAGCATATACACCAACAATAAAACATACAAGAAAAAGATGATATTTCCAAGCACCATTATGAGTGAAATTATCAGTATATACCAATGTGAATCTGCTATAGTTTGACATTCTCACAAAATACTACAATAGATGTCTAATCCTGCTCATATCATTTGGATTTTCTCTACCCGACTTTTAAAAATATAAGAAATGAATGCTATAGCCACTTTGATTGTGTCTGTAGCAATCATGTGAAAACCAGGAAGTTATTAATACAGAGTAACTGGATACCGGATTGTCCAATTCATCTGCATGTACTACCGGTATATGCATACAGTCAAGGGTTAATATCTAAAACACATGGACACTGCTTGAAGCAAAGACGGTGTATGACCCACCTGCAAGTTGTATTAGAAAAATAACCACAAATTCCGAAAGATAAACGCACCCGTAATTCATTGTGTAACAAAGGACTTTTATTTGAAAATGAGGGCATAGCTTCCTTTTCCATTACAAATTTTATAGTGCAAAATAGTTCACACGACTCTTTGAAGGCCTTCAAAAGTTTGAGAATTTCTGAAAAATATCTATAAATGGTTTGGAGTAATGGATTTTAAGTCTGATAAAGCCCTCACAACAAAATGTTCCAGCCAGTAATTGGTTGCAACATTTTATCTTCGGTCTGACTTCATATGCCAGAAGAGTCCTTGTCGTCAAGCTATATTCTATACCAAAAATAATGGCAAAATACACCCCACTATACATTTATATGTTTCACAATGTCTCAATACCATTTAGGAAACAAAATTTAGCAGAACGGCCCCAAGTAAATGCCATTTGGCCAATTGCATTCTGGGTGTAATGGTGAACGGGCATGT